CTTATAACTTGAGCCAAGCGGAGCCAACTATGCACGCCGGTTATAATGCTTTCCTGGCCAGTCGTGGTGTAAGTGCTGGAGGTGGTGGCACATTAAGTAGCAATGCTGGAAGTCATCCGAGTTCATTGACTGGTGCCACCAGTGGTATGGGCAGTGGAACCGGTGGTGGAGGTGGCGGCGGCGGTGGCGGGCCGATCGCGTCAAACCTAACCTCCACAGGAATGACCTACTCAGCCGAGCAGAGTGCACTGAGCGATGGTTTGGTGATTGCACGAAACGGGCATCTGGGCAACATGGAGTGCAGCCACGATCAGTCGTTTGATTTGCAACATTTAACCTTCGACGGGAAGCGTAAGTTCATATGACTGCTGCTGTTGTGGTGCTTTTTCTTGTCTGTTATTTTACAACTAACACATATATGGGTTTCTCCTGTTCGATTGAAGTGTCAGAAGACTTCCGTGGTACGCAACCAACTAAAATCCGGAATTAATTCCATAACTTCCTTTGCTTTCCAGATTTATATTTTTTGTCCACACTATATAACCGAGCATTTCATTATAACAGGAGTTCCAACTGGACCGTTAATGCGAACTGTTCAAAATACAACTTAGTTTAATGAGTTACTCACTTTCGTACAATGCACGAGAGGCTTAGGGAAGGACCTGACAAAGATTAGAACAAGAAAGTGAATGAAGTACGTGATGATTATTTTCATAAAACCAAACCGTTTCGAATATTACTATTATTATTATCATCGTCCAGGTACGTTGAATTTATTGAATAAGCAAAACAGTAGAGTTGTTTTTCAGGAAGAGGCTCTGTGGTTAATCACAGGCATAGATAAGTGCGAAAAAATAGAAGGCGATGAAAGTTGGGCTCAAACATAGAACTTTTATGTAACTCAACGTTTTACTAATATACTGGTGGTAATTGTTATTTAACATGCATCCGAGTGAATCATACTTTCTATCAAACCGCAGTTTGTAAACAAAAAGAAAACTTCCTATCGTTTGCTGAATTTCAAAATATGAAAACACAAGGGAAGATAGAGGAGGAATGGAGACAACTTTCGACATTGAATCACTAGGTTTGCGTTCATCCTTGATTGAGTGCTGAGTCATACAATTCAGTGCATTTTCCGTAACGCCCATTTCCGTCAGATAAATCATATCAATATTCATCATCTCACGAAAATGAACTTTGTTGCGTAATTATCAATTTTGTTCATGATTTGCTATTTTATCAGTACCCGGACAAGCAATGCGACATCCAATTCCCATCAACTGCCTGGCAGATCATGTGGCCCGATTGACTGCAGCAGACAATCTGCTATTCTCTCAAGAGTATGAGTCGATTGAAACGGAGCAACAGTTTACATGGGAACACTCCAATCTGGAAGTGAATAAACCGAAAAATCGATACGCTAATGTGATTGCTTATGATCATTCGCGTGTAATTTTGCAGTCGATTGACTGTGTCCCTGGGTCAGATTACATCAATGCAAATTATATTGATGGTTACAAGCGACCGAATGCGTACATTGCGACCCAGGTGAGTCGAATAGGCTAGGCTTGTTCACCTTGCGTTCGATTTCTGCCGCCATTTTGAAACATCCAATTTTTATGCGATAGGCAGAAACTAAAATATATTCCTTCAGTTCCGTCCTACATGGATGTCATGAAAGTACTCGACACAAGATCATGCACAATTAGTCCATGCAGAAATCCTACGTGTTATATCTGAACTGTGAGCATTACTCAGTATTTTACTCTGAGCTTCAATTCTTAACTCAATCGATTATTCATTTATAAGTAATCACTCATTCGTTTTTATTGGCCCAAACTGTTGGTGTCTTGGTTCCGTCATATTTGAACAAGTAAATCAACTTCCCCCCACAATCCTGATTAACAATTTATTTCATCTGTTATATAGTATGCAACAATTTCACAGTAAGTTCTCATGAAGAGATTCGTGCTCAGTCAAAAGCCTTCAGAGAACGTGCTATTATGTGGAGGCTGTACAGCCACCGATGGATTCGAACTACAAACTGCAATAAGTTGGACCTCTGATTTTTTCTGCTCGGGCGTCCCTAAGTATTTCCGAACCTAGTACAAGCTACTTGTAATGAGGACAATGTTTTGAGGTAGCTCTAATGAAAATCCAAATCGAACTGTTCGTCCAATCCGTGGGATTTGCAACCCCCAAGGTTTCATCTGTTTATCAGGGACGTTCCTGAAGTTTGGTTCTAATGATAAAAATTGCGCCAAGAAAGTGACTTAATGAAGACAGATATAAATCGGAATGAACAGTGGAGGCAGAGACAGTTCCGACTTTTATTAGCACGAACAGTCACACATTGTTACTACAATTCATTTGAATGAATCCATTTTGATTCTGTTTGAACTTATAAGCACGCATGCATTTACCACAAAATAAGTGTAGGCTGCTTCCATGCGTGAGTTCGAATCCCACCGGTTTTACTGAACTTTTCATGATTCAGACTTCTCACCAAAATGATCAGCTTAAGTGGAACCGTTGCACCGCAGTACATCCAAATGTTTAAGAGATAATAAAGTGAGTATTAAATTGCCTCAGATATGATTTATATTTGTTGCAACATCAACTGTTTCTAGCCTTAAGAATGAAAGTATTGAGTCTGTACAGTCAAAGCATTCCATCAATGTCACACTTACGAGACAATGACAGATAATTGAAATAACTCTTGGTATCAACCTCATTGTTTATTCGGGAGAGACAAATTTAGGCGAGCAAAACACACCAATCCCCGAGCTCCCTTTGCGAGTTTGTTTAAGATTGTATTATTTTCAGTCTGAGCACGAAGCTCTACACCCACATACACACATGCACATAAACAATATGAACCCGTTTCCATCAGGTTCTGCAGTTGTTTTAAAAATGACTAGGAAACATGCTTTCTCTGTTGTTTGAGGCGTTTTGGTACCGTCGCTGATGAACTAATCAGCATTCAGGTACGATCGAGTTCGTTTCTTCTATTTGTTTTCACACCGGTTCCGCGCATACCTTATCCCAGTGTCTTCGATTTGTACCTTTTTCAAGGACTATGGAGTGTATCATTTGTAACGATTGTTCAGAAGCTGTCGACCTTTAATCCCTACAGTTGCTTCCAGTTGTCAAGGAAAGAAGTCCTTCCAGAAATAGAATGTTGTGACCAAGGTTGTAAAGTGAAAGAATAGTGTACCCTGTTTGCAATGATACATTTTAAAGCTTCCTAAGTCGTTCATCCTACTTTGGGTACATTTGTCAGTTTCGTTATTAAATCACGCTGTGTTCCCCCAGGCTCTCACCCGTTGATCCTGGTCAGCCATGTGCCACATTTTGAATCTTTTAGATGCGCCTGTTTCTATCACAGGCACATTAATTGTACTAAGGGTAGTACGGCGGAGGATATCGCTTGCTAGTTTTCAACCAAATCGATATTGATGCATCAGTTGCCGCAATCCTGTCATCAGCAAATTATGGTAACCAGTCAACATTAAATTCCGTAGGACCAGTGTCATCGTTTTCGACAACGCAGGTATAAATACTGTGCCGGAAAAATTCCTATTTGTTTCCCAGTGGATATTCGACTTAGTTGATGCAACTAGGGCAATGACAATAACGGATAACAGAAAATCTGGTGCAATCCTGAAAATCCTCAAGCTGACCTAAGTGTGCTGCAGAACTGTCCAAGTCCACTTACCACACACAAGAAGAGATCCTAATAAGACAACATAACGTTGTGGCAGTGGTGTTGGTATTAGTGATCTTAGTGGTGGTGGTGGTGGTGGTGGTGGTGGCGGTGGTCAAGCGATCACTGGTCTCCTGTGGGCCTTCAGGTGCGAGGTTCGAACCCAAAGCCGCCACTCAACCTGGATAATTAGTGGCTCTGTACACTACCACACCTGATTTATTTGGGTTTTAAACGATTTTTCACTTCAATTTCCAAGTGTTCGGTTCCTGGTAATCATGAGTGAACGTTCGACTCTGGTGATAATGCGACTTATTCTTTCTGCCGTTCACCACACACGGTAAACTACACATTAATAAAATAAATTTCAGTCTTTCATTCTGCCATTCCTTTCCCACCGTAGTTTAGCTGTAATAAACAAATGAAGATAACCATTTCTAGGAAATAAGAACAGAACAACAAAAACACTAGTTGTTTTCCTAGATTAAGTTTACGTAAAGATCTCAATCGTTCTAGAGCTTATTGCATTCTATTCTCCTTCATTGATTTAATTTTCCGGAAGTAACTACCCCCAGGTTGTACACAGAGAATGAGAGCAATCACGATTCGGTTGCGGTTAATGTTAGCTGTTTTCAATCAACAAATGCAGGAATTAAACATGAAACACACATTAATGTGCCTGGGACAAATGTGAACCTCGTGATTACCAAACGTGGACTATAACGTGTATATATATATATATATATATATATATATATATATATATAGTTCAACTCTATCGGTCGGTTGAAACAAAATGTTGTCATCCATACGAAAACGAATTGCTTGCTTACGAAAGTCTTAACTCCCGTGACTTTACCGAAGTGATTATTTCAAACGGAGGAAAGCATTTGCAGCGCGAAGCCATCCAACCAGTTTACTCTAACACGTACCTTGGTAATTGAGTGAAAAGCACTTGATGAATGCTGATTTGATGCTGATAGCCCACTTCTATGTTTAATTCCCACTTGTGTTACGGATTCACCTTCTGATAACTCAAATAGAGCTTGGGAAATATGTAGTTCGGTTACTACGTATAACAGAGGCGATGGTCATCGGATTGAGCGATCTGTTCTCCCCAGCTTTGACCAGAAAATGACTTCGTAAGTGTACTTGTTCATTTACAGTGGTCACCTGTTTCACTCAACCGCACTTCATTTCCTAGTTAAAAAATTCATTTTTCACTAATAATTGTCATCAATTAGCCGCCCAGTGTTGGAATATCCACCTCCTAACCCCATCAGCTAGTTCTATTAAACGCTGGTTCCCTAAAATATTTATTTAATATACTGTCATTGCCGGAAAGATAAGGTACTTGAAAGCAAACTTGTTATTCACATTCTTGTAGTTCTCATGGATCAGTCAAGATGATTCTGTCGGTTGAAAGAAGCTAAAACGCTGTGACTTAATAAAAGCTGAATGGAGTACAGCATTATCAACGGCTCATCGGATTTGGGGTTTCACGTTTGGATATTGTCATAGAAAACTCGTATATTCCCTTTGGTAATCTCAAAATGCCTACAGCCCCAATCGCTTTTGGAGTGGATTAGCTTCAATTGTTTGACATTTGTACGAGAGTCACGCTTACCTGATTATAATTGGGATTTCTAACACCAATAACTGACTCCATTGTGAATGCATGAAGATACAAAGTGAATTGATTTAGCGGTTTATTTCGAAGTTCAAAAATGATTCTCATACTTAAGGTTGAGGCGATATTCGTTGCATCCACCGACAACCACTCAGTTGAACTCAGCACCTGAGGAAATCAAATCGCGCACTGCAATCGTTATTCTGGGTGAATAGTGTCATTGGATCAGAATTCGAACTGCTATTGGTCTATCATTTTTCAACCCCAAAATTTTTCCGTACATTGGGCATCTCATGTCGAGCTCATAGCTTGGATAAAATTTGTTTTTGGCAATAAACCTCCTAATTTGTTAGAAATCAGTGATTCTACCAGGAGTGGTGCCGTTCTAAAATCCACAAATTCACTGAAGTAATAGTTTTTGTGTCTTGCAACTTACAAATAAGTCAGTTCCGATATCCTTGACTTTACCCGTAACTAGCACAGTCTAGCTCAAGTATTACCAGTCACTGTACCGGTGTACGTATTCTTTCTTCTCCAGGGTCCGATGCCTGAAACATATTCGGACTTTTGGCGCATGATTTGGGAACAGCGTGTGTTCATTATTGTGATGATGACTCGTTTGGAGGAAAGATCCCGTGTGAAATGTGATCAGTACTGGCCAACCCGTGGACCGGAGTCGTATGCAAGCGGTCTGTTGACGGTCACCCCGGTGGATACAATCGAACTGGCCTATTATACCATACGCACGTTCAA